TGCGTTTACTTTAATCGATATCAGCATTTCGAATGATTGGCTGTTGTTTGACATCCCAGGTGTGTCTGCGCTTGATGTGCATGTTGACAAGGTGCCTACCTGTCTATTACCCACTACCTCGTCCATCTGGCTCCAGGAGACAGTTGGTCGTTGCTGGAGGAGACGGGGTGCACGGTCCTTGTGGTCGTACTAGGCTCGAAGAGTGGTTGCATGCAGTCAGTGTGGAGCGGACTACGGCCCAGCCACCACCTTGTGTGCACTTGATTTCCAAATACAGCGCGCTTGTGTTTGTCTGTGAAGGAGTGTGGGCCGCTTCGGTTGATGAAACTTGGCTCCCATCCGCATGCTTCCCGGTCTTATTCCTTCGGGTTTACACTGGATATGGGGTGTGTGGTTGGAGCTGTGGGTGATGCAGCGCAAGCCACCCATGGTCCCTCTGTAGGTGCAGGCGTCCTGTGGCTGGCCACAGTGACAGGCAAATCCGAAAGCGGATGCCGCCAATCATATGGACCAAATTCTGTCGGTGCCCGAAGAAATGAGGCGTCCGTCTTGTAAGTTAAAGGATACTCGTTCGAATCTGCACAAGTAGAGGCGACGAACGAGAACCAGATTGCCCCGAGAAGGTTTGAAGTGACGCGGTAGATCAGTTCAAGGGCGAGCATACAAAAAGTATTATTAGTCGACCTAATGGTGTCGTGTTTTGCGCGAAAATGATCATGGTATGCATAAAAACAGACCAGTTAAGCTACTTGAAGTGACTAGTTCCTGAGGAAACTTTCGATGGAAAGTTAACACGACAGTGCCACGTGATGTGATTCCAGAAAATTTTGCTACATATTTTATGTACGTACTATTTTCGATACAACATTTAACGTGTTTGCATGGCCGAACAGGCGGGAAAGACAGAATGAGGGTTGCTAGTGAAGGTTGCGCGGCACATACCGGCGTGGGCTATTTAACACGATACGCAGATCCCTGGATCCGAAAACGTAGCTAAGGAAGCGAAATGAAGTTGAATACAAACAGCCTGCATCGTCATCTGCACGCCGGCTGGCAACCTCTGTGTAAACTCTGTGTGCGTGTTTTCAGCGATATTCATACCTCAATGAAACCCCTAAGTTTACGATGCGTCTAAGCCATGCGCTATCAAACAATTTGTCCCAACTCTGTGTACTCAGAAAGATGCAGTTGTGGTCAGTATGTCGTCCTAAGTTAACTGCGTACATATCTATGCACAACTGCCAAAAATTGGCGAATCCATCTTTGAATTCATCAAATGTCAACCAACAAATGTTTATTGAAGTACTGTGGGACAATGTTGTGTCGCCGCTGACGCGTTCACCCCACGACCGCATGAAGAAGTCCAAAGACGAGCCAGAAGGAGACTTGTATACATGAAATCACAGTTGCTTATATAGTTTGAAGGCAAAATGAAGCGAAGCTACTAAAGTACACTTGAGCCAACCAACAGAAGGAAAAACGTCAAATGAAACGGCGAATAAGCAACCGTGTACTCAAGAGCGAATCGCATATGTCCTTAAAAGTAGTATCATTGGACTCCAAGCGTAAAGCGAACGTCCATTTACAGTGACGGGCACTGGCCAATCAGAATGCCGAAATGAAACGTTTAAACAAAGGTCACGAAACAAACGAGAATAAGGAATGTAGACCCGAAAGTTAAAAACTAGTACAATAATCGTGTGACAACTAAATATTCCTTTAACATAACCAAGTAGAACAGTGATGAGAAAAAACCAGTGGAACAGGTTCTTGCAAATAGCGCTGCTGAGAAGGACATGACGATGAGCGTCCATTAACAATGACGTGGGGGTACCAGTCGGGCTAACCCAGTAGAGCGTTTAAACAACAGTCAAGAAATAGAAAATAGGAAGAGTAAAGAATAGCTATCAAGCTTGTTCACAATAAATGAATGTCCAATAGCTGTTCTCCTAATAGACTATAAGTGGTATACTTCTTCATTGGTGGCAACAGAACTACGTGCTATCATGTAATACCCGTAAGTAGTATGTTTGAGCATATATCCCTGATAGACATATTCACTCATTCATTAACGATGCGCGAAGTTGATGGAGAATCGAGTATGTTAGGTAGTTATCTAAACGGCAAAACATTAGACCTACCAATTTTGGCAATAGGCACAACATGTAACGTGCTAGATTCGGTGGGGGTGGAAGTCCAATAGAAGTGCAGCTGACTTCGCAGTACCCTTGGTCTACGCACGACTGACCGTGGTCGCGTGGTACCGAAGCGTGGACCAGTGCACCGACGTACTACTGACGTCGTTCTTCCTTCATATGGACCAAACCACATGAAATTTTCCGATTTGAGCCCCCCTCCCAATGTTACTTATCACTCAGCTTCATATGTTAAATTGGTCCAACTGGAGGGTTTCAGTGTTGCTCTCTCTCCCATCGCCGCACTCCACGACCGACCGTTTCGTCCTTGTTTGAACTCATCAAGTAGAGATAGCCTGAGGTGGGAATAGAACTCGGCGCATAGTGCTTGGTGGTTATCGTCATAATCACTAGACCATTGAGCTCCGCGAGCAGTGCTTGCTGGATTTATCTCGCCTTAATAATAGCCAATCACTGATTGTGTAAGCAAACAGAATAATGGAATAGAAGAAACAAGCAACCGAATACCATCAACCTTCCGTGCATATGGCACTGCAAAGAGCCTTTCGGGCGCATAAGTTATGGCTACCCGAACACGCTGATTTGCTGTTAACCGTTTATGTTGTCTTGTTAACTAGAAGGCCTCCAAATTCCAAGCTTATGGTGTCTTACAGATGCAAGGACAGTTCTGGCGCGTCAAGTAGATACTGGTTTGGTAATATTAATTACCATAAGGAATAAGCGATCTTCCGCATTCTTACCACGAATCATGAAACCGCTGGTCGCAATATTTCACAATGTTGTCCGCAGCCGGTCAAGCGGATTGCGAAAGATGTTATAAGTCAAAGAACCTTCACACACATGCAACAGGTAAGGAGTAACAAAGGAGAAACATTTACTTTCCCCAGGCGATTTAAGAATAAAAATCACATTCACTATGAGTTTAATCATCACAGTTCACAAGAAACCTTCATGGAAGCTGAACACAGAGTGAAGAGGAAGGTTTGTTGGTTTCCTGTGTCATATACAACATAAAGGAGCGAGGCGTCGGCAAGAACAGCACGTCAGAAGAAGAGAGGGTACCATTTTACTCGTCTCTTCCCGATACCGACACCGAAAGACATTCATGTCAAACTAACTATTTGTTGTTATCTGAAAGACGGTGCAAGTGGGATTCCTGTACAGTGGAAGTGGCGACTTTAGGCTATAAGTAGGTCCATTGATGACAAGGTAAGAACGAGGACAAATGGGCCGAGAGCAGGAATAATACGAACAGCAGCAACAACAACAACGACAACAACAACATGACAACGGGCGAAAAACCGAGACAGAGAGGGAGAGAGAGAGAGAGAGAGAATGGAACCAGCAGTAAGGATGATCGGATGAGCACAATACCATTTTATAAAATTATTTAGACCGGTAATGGTAAACGCAAACAAGCTTTAGCAAGCAATGTTTAGAGGATAAGTCTAAGGAATGGAACGTGGTGTGCATTTTTACGGTGAATTCTGGTACCTGATCAGACACGTTGCGCACTCAAACGAAGGGATTGTTTTATAGTGTTGGTGGTCCATGTGCAAACTGCGTTGTGTTTACACAGGTAGCAAGGAACCCCGTCGTCCGTCCGTTAGTCATCACAAGTTATCCGCTTTGGCTACAGTAACCCCACTGAGAGAACGTTTTTGTGTAAACATCCGACTCGCCTAGTGCACTGAATCACCAGCGTAGCGAGAAACGCGTAGTGCTGATTCACCAAGGAAACAGACATCGGTTTTCTGTTTCTTGCACATAGAGCTGGTGCATCGACATTACCCGTCAACCCCGAGCCAGTTTTCTTTTTGCCAAATTTACCGAGGGACAGGTGTCTAGCATGTGTTTACACAAAGCTACCACTAGTCAGCACTGTCGTTTGACGCGATGCTCATAATTGGCCTTCTGTTTTTTAAATTTGTGTGACAGAAGACGTAAGCCATGATACCGATATTCCGTGAACTCTTCTCAATCACAAATAAGAGTACAATGATAGACCCGGAGAGTCACGGTAGGCCGATTTCACATAAGCTGCACAGGTCGTTCGCGACCGATGGTACTGGTTACAAGTAACTTCGAGAATGTAACACACTTCTTTAGTGTGCAGGAGGATGGCGTAATATGTATGGGTGGTGACCTGCCGACTTGCACTCGGTAACTGCCCTGTATTAGCGGGGGTTAACCAGTCTCAACTGATTCAGTCGTCGAACATACCATCCGTTTGCGAAACCCCTGGAGAACGTGTTCAGATAACCAGAGTTCAGTCAGCACAACCAACATAGTTGCCTCGTTGTTTCAGTGAGGTATCGTTCAGTGTAGTGCGCACAGAATCGGCTGAGATAATCAGTTTGATTAGATGTGATTACGTACTACACACCAATCCCACGTATGCTTACTCATGTTATGGGCCCTTTAACATGTATACACGCGTACTTTATTGCATGTACTAGGTGTGTGGATATTAAAAATGGAGCCAGAAGCTAGGTACGAAGCGCCGCAGATCAAACAAGCAATCTGCCTCAGGTAAACGGGACTGAGAAGATGATTAGTTGGCTAACCCAGATCCTATCCACACGTTCAGAGCAGCAAAATGATCAGTGGTCACTTAGATCCGGAAGTGACTTACGAGGTTCTGTGAATCAGACCCGAAAGGCGTGTTGCTAATATTGCCTAGCTTGGAAATAAGACGTCTGCAGCTAAGACACCCAGCTCGGAGAACAACACAACATCCACATTCACGCGTAGCGCTACACGTATTCTCAATAATTTCCAACATGAGGTAAATTCACATCAAGCGGGAGGCCGCTGAGCACATTGTATCAAACAACAACTCACCGAAACCGAGAGCTCTAGGTCTCCCATGCCCGCGTCTCGAGTGTCCACCTGGAACGACGTCGGTTGGGTGGCTGGGAGCCCGAGCGGTCGTGTGGGATGCACACCTTCTCCAGTCACACGAACTCGTTGCGGTTCAAAAGCGGGCAGCACGTGTTGAGTGAACGGGGATCTGGCGACGTGAGACGGTCCCTGTCGGACTTCAATCTGGCAGGGGCCCTCGGATGCGGGGACATAAGTCACGTCATACACTCCGGGTTGACCAACTCTTGAGGAGACGTGCGCCGGTGTGGAACGACCCAACCGATCCACTGTCGCAACCTGAATGGTAAGTAAAGTAGTCGTCAGGATAAAATTACTTCTGGCATGTCACCTCGAAGAGAGACAAAGACAGAACCAGACCACAAATATCTGATGTCAACGCCACAGTCTAACCGTGCTGAATATTCAGAAACGAAGTCTACCGATGAATAACAGCGGCATGGAGTTAAAATACGCTATACTGAGACGCAATGGAACGTTGATACGGGCTGACCGCCGTATTCGCTATAGCGCAAATAGGGATTGTAAAAGTTTCATTTAATGGAGTGGGTGTACGGTCAACTGCGGGACTAGTTTCAGATTCTAATCAGGAGTAAGGCAGCCTCTTACGTTGAGATCATCTATTGTCACTACTTAAGACAATGAAAGAAGATTGAACCTAGTAGGTTCTTTAGGTCTCTGCCATCACACGCACATCCAACTTCATGAGATGACTCTATCGGTATAAAGACCTCGAACTCAGGATGATACATCGAGTCTACAAAAGATCCAGATCGTATGTGTACTCTCTAACGGAAAAGATCGATTACTTCTAGGATATATCATCAAATTGAGACAGTTGTCGAGACATGCACATTATGCTATCAGGAACCGTCAGCAGTGCGCATTCAATCCGTCCTCTGTGGGGTTAAAAGCCACAATCCTACGCATACGCATCCGTTGTCGAGACAAGTGAGTCAGCGGGGACGAACTGCAGATACCGTGACATAGCGCGTATACATATTCTCCACTTCCGTGCGCGTTTCCCATGTACAAAGGACTGGGTTGGCCCCATGTGCCACAAACTTTCCTTGCTGATCCGCCATCGTCCGACAGCATTGGAAGCTATATTTGGCAACTGTTGAGTTTTAGAATTAGTCATTCGAATCGTTACGCAAGGTCAACTCCCATTGCCCATTGCAATTAGGTGGGGGAGTGTTAATCGCAGGCCAAGAGAGGTTACCGATGGTAAATTATCGTTGTCTGGAAACGCTAAAGGTTACAGTAGACGCTGGTGACAGCTCTTGTTAGGTCTGGTATGTCCAGTGTCGAGAAAACATGACAGAACAGCCGTACAGAAAGCGTAACGTATGTTCTCAAGACGACTCAACTACTATGATCATCAAGAAGTGTCCAGGTCGAATTCTCGCTGCTCGTGTAAAGTAAAAATAAATCATGTATTCTTCATGAAATCTTAAATAATCTAGGTTGTACTGCCCATCTACCTGTAGCCACTTGTCACTGGTCATGAACCAGGCCTTATTACATCACCCTAACGAAAGCCCGTGCCGGTTTGCGCTGTGACTTCTTCCTTTACGGAAGCGCATACCCAGGAAATGGGTAACATCGCGAGGTTATGCGTATCCCTTAAGATACTATTCAGTATCACCTCCGTGAGGCTAGCCACTGTTCTCTGCACAGTTCGTAACTGGCATGGCAGTGAAAGATGAGCCGGGCTATATCATAGTCAACTGTCAATCACGCACGTCCGCAGCTGGCACGCATGGCGAAGTGGCACTAGCTGTTGGCATCCTGAAGTCATGGGGTAAAACGCCGCAGGGGTCCGCTTAGAGGCGCACCACTGACGAGACTCAGAAGGTCGAAATGCCAGTGTCTGGTGCTTTTCCCGACTAGCCTAAACCTACTGATTGAGAGTGGCGATGATGAGTGAACTGAATTATACCAAAATCCTCACTATTACTTATCAAAAATCCTTAAATGTCTGCACACCGCAAAAGAAGATCTGGGAACATGTACCCAATCAATTCTACTGGCACACCTTTGCGAGCAAAAGATGTATCAGCTACGCTGCATACCTCTACCATCTCGTCTAGCGCTTCCGTTGTATGCTCCAGAACACGCATTCGGACAGCCATGTTGTAGGTCTGTATCCCTGACATTAGAGATCTGTTATCACTACATTTCCGTCTTCTATTTTTAAATCAATCGGTATCAATGGCTTCTCAATTAGTGCGAAGGGTCGCACTCTTCCACATCAGTGAAGGACCTGGGTATCAGGCCTAAATACAATTTGCCTTGATCACATCATATAAACGAAAAGTTCACATAAGTCAGGAGATTATCATTATACACCTCATGTCTGTGAGGTTCCTCTGTCCCCCCAGGGTTTTATACTTCGCTTTGTCACAGTATGTGTCTTTTCACATTGAACCTACTGCTCTCCTCCAGTGATTTCTCCTGGTCTAATAGGCCAGCACGTCAGATGAATCTCCAGGTCGTTAAACGCCTGTCCAGTTGATATAATTGTGTCTACTTATGTTAGTGCTTGCAAGAGGCTAGCGTCGACAGTACTTACGGACACAAGTCACCCCTTTCATTGCTTATTGCCGGAATGCGTGTTGACCTAGCAATCCGGACAGAGGCACAAGTCCATAGATGCCCGAAGAGGAGCTTACCGTTCGTCGGTTGTTCCTTACCTAGTGCGAATTTTGCTAGTCCCTAACAAAGAATTCCGAGAACTAACCAACCATATTATGCTATGATCGCATTGTGTGCTTCCATATGTTAATCCATCTCTTTTGAAATATATTTATATCAAGCTGCATCGCTGAAAGCTTGCGTCTCGCAGCTGGATATTCACTCGTTCAGGGTATATAAAATACTTGTGTGACTTCACTTTAATTCGGCAAGTGATTGTTCTATCGTTACTATCCAACCCATCACTGAGCGTTTCACACAAACAAGGCAAGAATATAGCTGTATTAGTTACGTGGACAACTGGACACCTACTTCACTTCCTAAAATACTGGATCACCGGACCGGAACTCTTGATGGTTCAGAACATGGCATCTATCGCCTAACCCACACATAGGCTTAACCAATCCAATATACTCCGGATGGCGATGACGCTCGATTGCGCACACTCACTTAGAATCTTTGATGAAGTATACTGTAATCCAACACGTGAAGCCATGATTTGCGTGATTAATCCAACGCCAAACGATGGCAGATTAACGAAATACAAGCTGTCGATACCCTGCATCTGGACACGAGGAGTACCAACTCAGAAAATAGGCTGCACTCGTGAAACTGAAACCATCAATGTGTCCAATATACTCCTAAGTGAAAGGGATTTGATGAGATTTATTTGGTCCAGCGCAATCACATTACCAGCCAGATGGTTAACTAGCAAACAAGAAAAGCATCAGACTGGTGTGTTGTGTTTTTGGGACTCCTCAGCAGTGTGCATCCCATCGGTTCCCTTCAGAAAACAGTCTGGTGCTGTTCTGGACTGATAATTGGTCGATCTGGCTTGCAATCTGTTGCGGGCCCGTCAAATATCCTCGCAAAAATGCACCAGAAACTCCGGCATAATGGCTGTGGAAAGCGAGGTCCAACCCCCCCCCCCACACAATGCAGCAGCGTTCGGCCACTCCGAGATGCGGCACAACTGCGCACAGGTTGACAATGTTCTTCTACATGCTACCACGCCGTTGTGGTAGCAATTTGCACTAACTTACTAACCCACAGCATTGGCTGTGACTCGCCCTTTGTTGGTCGTAAAAGAGCCTTCAGGACACCACCTGCCTTTCTTCATTTTCGCCTTAGTTGGGAGTCGGTCGGGCACGTGATTTTGTGTGCGTCGTTAGCCGGGCAGCGTTCGCGTCTAAATTACTAGCGCGTGTCTACCGTAACCCGCTCTCGTGTGCGTCCGTTCCGAGGGCTCAGAGACTACCCTAATACGTGCGGCAAGGATCATCCTCACGCTCGCTCAATTTCCGTCTCACCAGCGCGTACGTCGGCCTAAGCTAACGCCGTCAGGCCAGCACAAATCCGTTCGATTGGCCATCGTTCCAAGACGTTACCGTAGGCGTGCTCCAACCGTGACAGTGACAACCTTATCAGGCATCTACGCAATCATAACAGAGACGTTCCCTCAATTATAACACAATCTAAATGCAATGAAGTGAACAGATGTGTTCAATCATTGAGGCGCGACGTGCTGTGTTAAGCGAGCCTGCACATAGCAGACTTTGGAGCCACCCTTCGCTAGCAGCCCGGAACAGCTTGACCCTGACGCAGCCCGAAACTTATTGGCTAACCACTGAGAGCGAGCGAACGATGACGTTTCACCTTAAACGCTATCAATGCGGATGATGTACCTTGAAGCCTGCCAGTGAGTGCGTCATTTCGGCAACCAACAAGTGCATTATCAGGCATCTAGTAGTAGCAAGAATTCAAGAGATTACAGTTAGATCGTTCTGTTATGAACCCATTGTTTGACTCCAGTAATTGCCGGTATATACTACATGCCAGATGTTCAATACATTTTTCTCCTGGGACCTTTGTCTTCTGATCCCGGAAGCCGGTCGGTCGGCTTGCGCAATTGGAGCAGGTTATCCATACGGTCAGCGGAAACCACGACATGCTGAGATATACAACAGTTTGCCTTCTAAGAGGAAACATATACCACGTATCAAAATGTGCAATTGTTCAACTGCTTAGTTATTTAAAATGCGCTAGCAAGACAGTCTGATATGTAGATACTCACGCTGATTGGAGCATCTCCAGCCTGAGAGGCGTCTACCGTGAAAGTGGCTGGCTGCTGCGCTCGGGCCCCACGTGGTTCCAGTCCAGGACCATAGCAACGTACGCGGCTAGGATCCACCTTGTCATGAATGGGCACTTGGAATGGACTGCCTGTAAGAAGAGCAAAGGTGAATATAGACCAGGTTGTAAATCGGTGCAACGAACCCAATAATTTGCGGGTCTCTTGTGAGGTAAAGAAGCAAAATTGCCTGCCGTACTTTGATATTCTCATCAGCCGCAGAGAAAACGGGCAGATTAAGAGGTCTGTCTACAGGAAACCAACATGGTCCGGGTAGTATCTGCAGTTCACTAGCTTCACACCAATGCGATTCAAGCGGACGCTCATGCGAACCCTGATTAGCCGTGCCAGACGAATCTGCTCCGCTGATTGCCTGGCTGACGAACTGCAGTTGATTACAAACACGCTCACTGAAAACGGATAACCCCGAAGGTTCACCGAGAAACATGGTCAAGTGCGACCAAGGGACCTAGTTCACACGGTACCTAAGAAGCCTGTACTCATTGAACTGCCATTCAAAGGTGACGTCTCCTCGTTGAGGACCACAAGGCGTCTGATCTGTGTCATGCAGACAACTTACTATGCCGCCAAGGTCGTCGTCATTAACAAAACCCAAAAACTGTAACTTCCTTCTGTCAAGGAGGCTCAGTCTATCGGGCTCAAATCACATTGCATTTACCGATCCATTTGTGACTGCGGCGCCAGTTACATAGGCAGGACCGATAGAACATTGAGTTCCCGAATGAAGGAGCATCTACCTAAGTGGGTTCAAGGTTCGACCGCGCAGGAAACTGGCCACAGTCAAGCTGCTTGTCTGCGTAAGCCACCAGCCTCTTCGATCGGCCGACACTTATTGGCCACATGTCACCGAGTCGAGGTCAATTCAACGTTCACAATCTTATTACAGCACACCAATTCTCGCCTCCTCCGTGGCGCAGAGGCGACTGTAATTAACCGGATTAAGCCGCTGCTTTGTGTTCAGAAACAATTATCGGTCAGCATTAGACTGCGCTGGGGATAGGGTGGATAACCCTGTCTCACTTATCGTGTGTTGGTCTGTTTGTCTGTTTGGTCGCACCCTTCACTGAATAAGTATTATTGCCAGTTATTGTTAAAGGTACTGAGGAGACAATGCAAAATGCGTGCATTTGCCAGTCTTCGTCTTCTTACTGCGCTTTGGAAATTACTACAGGGAACTAACTGTTTCAAATTCCAATTATAATCACCAAATCAAACAAACATTCCCTACACTGTAGTTTGCGCTCACATACTATGTTGCAGTTCCTTCGGATTATCGCCCATGTTCTCATGCTGCCAGTAAGTGTTGAAATAGTTCGTATGTTGCTGATATAGCTCCAGTATGTCGCGATTTACTGCCATAGATCAGAGCTTTGCGTTAAAACATGAGATTGTTGCATATTAGAATTTTATACACAATAGTCCCAACTTGAACAAAATATTGAAACATGATCTGGTCGATGAAGCCATGCTGTTCGACTGTTCCCAGTCAGAGGCACATTTTAAGTCATCTGGCTCTAAGTAAAAATTTCCAGAAGTTCCTTTAAATGAACTCCAATTCACGTAGCCATAATATCGCTCCTCAGCGGCTTAATAGTATGACGTTCGCCAGTAGAACGTTGAGTGACGCGTGGCCAATTATCCCAATTCAGAACAAGTTTGAACGGCAATGTCGACGGTATTCAATCGCTCGGGATCCCGGTTTATGACCCCAACAACAGTAAAAGTGTAATCGAAGCCAGTGCTCAAAGCAGACAGACAAATTTACAGTGACAAGTCAATCATTCCAGTCCAGTCGTAGAGCGTGCGCACGGTTAGAGTTGAACGTGAAGCAAACACGCACCAGACAGCAGAATGTAAAATGGATGAAGTTCAAATCTTTTAGAATATGTGGTGACAATGTAACAACGCCATGGAGATAGCAACATCAGATCAGGTGTGTATAGGACGCCTGTCACAATTGACACAAATGAGGATGAGGTCAATTATCGTTAGTGTTAGAGACTGAAGGTATAAAGAAGTGGTGAACCACTAGGTAAGTTTGTGAGCTTATGGTGTAGTTATCATTACAAGCACACGGGTGGAAGGTGTAAGCTCGGGTGATCAGACTTACGAGTTTTGTGAGGATACGGACCAGTGTACGGGCGACACTTGCAGCGACAAAGAAAGCTCATTGAATGAATTGAAAATTACGGTCCAAGTGAGAACCGAGGGTACGCTTCAGAGGGAATTTCCAATCAATACAATACGATACAATAATCTTCTACGACTATGGCTAAATCCATGAGTTATATTTCCTTTTGTATGGGGGTCGGTCCGAAGACCAAAACACACCTAGGAAAAGCACTGGACAACGCTCTTACCGAGCCCCAACGAGGCTCGAGCCCTCGTCCAGCTCCCAGAGAGGTCTTGAGAGGTAGTATGGCGCCACGATCTATGGCAGCCGCGCAATGATGAGCAAGAATGTCCTAAGGTACAGCGACCATTACTGCCCATTAGTAATTGGTTGGACCTCGGAGACAGCCTTCAGCATCTAGCAGCCAATGGATCTGCTGCGGTACAGTATAGTACCGGAAAATACGAGCCTCAAAATGGTGACAGAAGTATTTGCTAAACCTCAAGGGATATTGCCCGTTGTGGCTTGCAACATAGAATGAGGCGGCTAGCGGTTTGGTGATGTAAACCGTTAATCAGCTGCCAATGTTGTCTGCCGTAAATTGAAGAGCTGTATGTCATTGAATGATGGGGAACGGTACTTTTAAAAGCAATCCCTTATCTACGGAATTTCACCTTGAGAGGAGGATCAAGATTTCGAACCCCGTGTGATTCTAGAGAAAGAAGCACTAGTAACGGTTCTCTAGGAGACCGGAAGGTGTCTAGGGTCACCTTCAGCTATGTTGGTTAAGCGGACGAGCCTAGTTGTGGTTAGGGTCCTTCCTGCTGAAACCACATATTTCATGCCCACAATGGAACACAGCAAAACCTCAGAAACTGACCATCTCTCCAAGTTGACTGTTTTTCCTAAATTGAATGTTCACTATGTAAACTTCTTGGAATCAGGCCTTTATATATTGAGCAACTGAAATTGTATGTTGAACACTTGGGCTATAACAATTATTATTAATTTGGCCCCATGTAATGGTCGCCAAAAGACTCGTTTATTTAAATAATGTGTGTATGTGGCTGGCTTTTATAATGTGCGAAATTTTCCAGACCCACAATCACTGCGCTTTACGGTTCCGCAGACGTTTGACGATACAACATGTTCTCTGGCGCGTAAGCGTATGGGTGTTTGCCTCGTACAGTGTGCCACACCGATTGACTTTGACCGTTTAAGTGAACCCATTCACCATGCCTCCAGCTACATAGGCACCCATTACTCCTAAACTTTGGAACATGTGCCCACTCATTGCACAGGTCATAAGCAGGAGTCTGAGTACCTGTCTAACCATCGAGTAGTCATTTCTAAGTCAATCCGTTCAGTTACGTTTGTGCTAAAACAAGCGGACAAAGATTGGCTCATTACAAAACAAGACCACGTTAATAAAACCACACTGCGTTTTAATTTATTATGATGCTGTATGAATTCACTGTGTTTGCCATTATGTAAGAGCTCAGCTTACATATTCGAAACAGGATGTACGTGAAAATAAAATTTACATTGTACTACTCATAACGGGAGCGTATGAAATGCTGTATTTGAATAAGACATCCATATGTTGAGAACTTCTCTACGTTAACCACTTTGATCCAGTCCCTTGAATGGTTTTATTGGAATTCACTCTGTGGTTTAGTTGCATGGTACAGAGTCAAGAGTTATAGGATTGCAACTTATGTACTAATTGCACGCAGTAGTTGGACCGAGGCAGCCGACGCTGGAGAAGGTGTTGATGTGATCTACCTGGATTTTTCCAAGGCTTACGATCGCCTAGACCATCGGATACTACTATCCAAGCTGCAGCATTACGGGATCGGTGACCCTCTTTTAAGCTGGATCGCCAACTTTCTATTTCAAAGGCAATTAGTGGTCAGAGTTCGGAGCTCTTTATCGGACCCCATACAAGTCTAGTGTGGTGTGCCGCAAGGCTCGGTTCTAGGTCCACGTTTGTTTTTGGTGTTCATTAATGACCTTGCACAGGGAATCGATTCAAACTTCCTAATGTTTGCCGACGATATCAAGATCTGGCGCAGGATCCAGGCGAACGCCGACCAACATGTGCTCCAAAGTGACTTAGATACAGTGTATCAATGGTCGATCCAAAACTTATTGCATTTCAACGTCAGTAAATGCAAGGTGCTTTCCATCCGACATCAAAGCAGCTACTCATACCGACTCGGAACGGATGTACTACAACAATCAACTCTCGAACGTGACTTGGGTGTCCTGGTTCAAAATGACTTGGGTTGTTCCAGGCAATCCGAAAATGCCTCGAAGAATGGGAACCAACACGTTGGGCTGTTGAGGCGGGCGTTTGGACAAATAAACAGCTCCATATTTCGACAAATGCTCAGTGCGTATGTTCGTCCCCATGTCGAATATGCAATTCAAGCCTGGCATCCATGGCTGAAACACGACCTTAATGCACTGGAGCAGCCACAACGCCGGGCATCTAAGAACGTAATTGGAATGCGCAATCGGTCCTACCAGGAGAGGCTGCGACGACTAGGATTGTTCAGTGGCAGCTTTCGCAGGCTACGAGGCGACCTGATTATGACATACTTGATTCTGCGAGACCCACATCATGTGTGCCGCGCTTTACTGCAAGTCAGCAGCAATACAAACCTGAGGGGCCACTCATTAAAACTCGCAGAACAATACAGTCGTCTGGAGTGCCGCAGAAATTTCTTTTCCATCCGTGTCTGTAACCCGTGGAATGCTCTCCCAGAATCGGTCGTTTCTGCACCGACACTAACAATATTTAAAAGACGGTTGGACGATGCACTCATCCACTTACACTTTGTTACTTAACACAACGTCTCCATCCTACACCTGGAGTGTACCATGGAATTATTTGTTGTTAACTGTGGGTGTTGTGAATCTAAGTGGATCGCAGGACTGCAGCGAAGCAAACGATAAGGTCTTATTTTCGTATTTAAAGTATTAACTATTTTACTATCCTTTTCATCATAATTGTTATGTTGATATCCCCACCAACTATCCAACGGGGCTTGTAAAGCAACGCTTCTTAACCCGTATAAATTCATTGTTCATTGTTCAAATGGAGTATCAAAAACAATAATTAGCAAATAAGCTCGTTTTCAGTAGTTCGTCATCCAACCGGTACGTTATGATGGGGCTACAAGGTGTCTTCTTGAGACATTCAGTTTCATCGAAGGTCCGACGAATCAGCCCGGCGAAGCGTCTTCATGAAAGCAACGTGGAACTGCCCCTGCCCTCATCTCGCCAATCAGATTCCAATAACTCAAAGTGGCCAAGAAGGATCAGTCATGGGGAAAAGACATCAGTAGTATGCCAGTACGCAGTACCGACGCTGCGCTGCCACGCAACCACCACCAGTCGCACGTGGGCTAAGGATACTGCGAAGGTCACCCGGTTCCTATGCAGGCTCGAACCCGTGCCCTCGGACTACAAGACAGGCTTGTGATTCTTAAGGCTACGGTCCGGTATCAATCAGGGAAACGCGTTCCCAGATAAGTGAGAATCTATAAGAGGGCTGTTCGAGGGAAGTGGCCATCTACAGCAGTTTGTGCGAAGCAATGTGAGGTCTCAACAAAGCCAAGGTAACATTAGCAACTATCTCACAAGAGGATAGTCGCGGATTAGAACTCCTGTGGGATCCGGGATAGATGACCACCGTTGACGAATCCCAATAGGACGAAACGACGGCTTAGCACTTTTCCCGATAGGTGGCGACAATCTAACGGAAAATGCTTATGCTAAATCTTCTCAGAATCAAGTTCAAGAAAAGAGAAACAGATGCATTTATCGTTAATGTTCAAGAAGGTTGGGATTACGTAAATAGGACTCAGAAGTCCCTCAGACTACAATGTCCAAGGTTGCTACGCAACAAATTTACAGCCAAATTCCAATCCAATAATAGATGTGAACCCGCAGCTCAACGACATGATTTTTAAATCAGGTACTTCACTCTGCGTGTATACCACTCTTCTGTTTGCGTCAGTCAAGATATATAGGAGGAACCACGAAGAAACTGTCTGAGTGTGTTAGCAAGTGCTGTTCAAGTTGGTTGTGTGACGGAGCAAACAAACGCCGTATTAACGTACACACAACAGATTCTAGCCGCTGCTAGATAAAAGCGAGAGAGGTCTTGCAGTCCATGTGCAGCGCACCCAGACGTCCTATGTAAGCTGTTTGATGCCGTTTACTAATTGAAACCGAACGGATTAGTATTTGACTGCAAGCTCCAGATTTGTGTGCGCAGAACAAAGTTGTCTAGGCTCTTAGTTGGTATGACCACTGGTTTAGTGAGAGAGTTTTCCAGTGAGCTGCGACGGATTCGGTTGAAACAAACCCAGTGTCATCGACCGTATGACCAGGAATAGCCTTGTTCCATCCGCCTTGCTGAACTCTGAAGATGGCTTCGCGACGTTTGAATAGCGTTTGAGTGCTTACTTTCGTTACACGTGTCAGAACCAGAATTGTGAACTATTAAAACAGTGGGTCACATCGCCCTCAACCTATCATAACTTCCTATCACATTGACAATGATCCAGACTGCCCTTTATCGCCTCGAGACAAATCACTTGGCACGGTTGATTAGGAGAGCTAGAACTTGATAAAGCCAAATTACCTGATGTGTTCGCGTATGGCATCCATTAGTAAAGAACCAGAATGTGATAAGCCAAGGAAAGCTACGTTTGCGATGTCTGCGATTGCGATACGTTATCAACAAAATCAAATCAAATAAACGCACATCCCACCTGGTATATTCATATCGTTGAACTTGACAAACACGTCATATAGACCAGCTCTTGTTGGTAGGTAGTCCACTGTGCAAGTGCCGTCCTTGTTATCGTGGCATTGGATTTGTGCATCAGCCGGTCCCTCGAGAGCCAATCCCAAAGCGCCTTGACCAGCCCCATCCAGATCCACAGTGAATCGTTGCAGTTCATGTGTGGTTCCACCTTCCAAACCGGGACCATAAGCACGCACTCGAGAAGGGTCACAGCCGGGAGTCACATTCACTGGGAATGGACTTCCTTGCACAGGTGCACCATCGTATGTGACCTCGATGTGATGAAGACCTGCAAAGAGTAAGCAGCCGACAAATAGGTGAGACGCTTTTGCTGGCTATACGGGTGATTTTGACAAACACCTCAAGGTTAACTAGACAAAATGACATAGTTGGCCGCTACCTATTTAACGGCTTTTCAGATGAAATGCCTCTGTTTGGCCCAGAAAGCAGTCCATAGCCTCATGCGCTAACGTAATACAGTTGTATATCGAACATGTTGGTTCAGTTCAACAACTGCGATTCGGGCACGGAAGTGGTGTGGATCCAATTATCCCGAAGCGCGTCCCCATGGCAACCAAGGAAAAACTGCATGAAAGAAAGCCTAATAAAACTTACAAATCAGAATTTAACGGAACGGGAGTCAAGGACGGGTAGTGTTTATTGGAAATAAATATCACCAATAAAAAGTGAAACGTCAAACACAAGAGTGACACTGATTTTGTCATAAAACCATGTTGGATAAGGTCCTAAACCAGCAGAGCAGCCTATCCCGAAGTCTCTGTCCACGAAGACGACACACTTCAGCTTGACCGGGTTTTTCGGTCAATTGCTTCATGCCTTTATGCCAGAACATCGACTGGCCACTTTGCGTTTTCGCCCAACTAGGTGCAACGACAGTGCATTAAGCACACCGAAAAAGGCGGCCAACAGGCATACCGGGGATAAGTAAGCGATTCGCTTTTGACCGAAATCAGTGCGGCACCAGGGAATCTCGTTCAAAACGCCAATTTGTGGACTCCCTGATTGCTCACGCGAGGCTCTCAGGAGATGTGAGCAATGTTCCGCAAGCGCATGTGGTCGAAGACAACCAACCTCCCTTAGCACCTTCAGCGCGGTGACTATGTTTTTTTTTGATCCACTCTGTAACACCGGCCCTATCGCAGGGTTGTACTCCCACCCTGTCCATAGACGACCGAGACGCTGGAAAGCCGCATAAAAGCATCGGTGATATGCGACCGTCAGACGTAACAGAGACAGACACTCCACACCGAGGCGGGCGATTCGTAGGCGCACAAGTAAGTGCTCCAAACAACATAGGAAATTCGAGGTTGCAACTTTTTTAATAATTAAATAACTAAATAAAAAATTATATAGCCCCTCTTAGTTTCAAATGCTATGGATATAGCGTCTAGCGAGAGGGCGTCAGCACATCGCAGGCTAGCTACTGTCAGTGACAGTGAAAGATAGGTGGTGCTATATCCCAGTTAGCTTTCAAACTATATAGCCCAGCCAAAGTCCGCATGGCCCAGTGGCTTACGCTGCTGGCTAGTTGGCATCTGCCTCTAGCCGTTATGGGTTCTATCCGCATTAGGGGACCGTGGGAATGCGCATCACTGATTAGTCCCAACGGGGCGAAACGCGTCTGGTGCTTTTCCGGACTAGGCTGTACTATGTAGCTTATAAACTACTGGAATGAATATCTTAAAAAATACAACTAAAATCCTGCTACTTGCGAGTAATTCGATGTGCCGGATCCACACTACCGAACATCGACGGGTAAACATAGTAAACCTGCGCTCCAGAGTATCGCTTGATTTAAGCAATGCTTCAAAACCTACTCTGATAGGTGTAGTAAAACTCGATCCCTCAGGGATAAACAGTTCATTGGGCGAAAGCCAGGCAACAGAAAAATACGGTATAACTGGTTCACACAACGTTTTTATAAATATTGTCAAACTAGTACCATTAGTAACGGCACAGTCCAACCAATAATGTTCCCTCATTACTCTAGTCAAACAACTAAGTGAATAAATTTGCATAGTTAACGACAGGCGGCACACGACCCCTAAGTGGGAGCGATCATTTGAACACAGAAGTAAGGTTATGGTCTCCGTGGCTTAAAACATGATAGTAAACACCAAAAAATAAAGATCTCAGACCTTGGATTGTTTTTCCACATATCAGCGACCCGATCGCACACATTGTATTCATTCAATAAGAATGCCTGTGCCACTGTTTTCAAATTAACTTCGCAGCGAGACTCGGGAGCACTCATTGGTAGGGTGGGGAAGAGTAGGTGGCGCAAGCACAAGTTTTGTTGTAATAGTGTAGTGATAAAGAAAGGCTAAGTTGACTGTAGTCTTCTAGCCATTCATATGTTGTATAGGTCAGATTTAGTTAGCGTTTCCGAAGATTTCTTTGATACATGTGTCTTCAACGCATTCAGTATAGCGAGATAAATAAATAAATAGTATATTCTCGACAACGCGAAGCACTTCTGTATAGACATGATCATAGAAATACCAACACGAATGACCGGCAAATGTGAAATAATATTGCAAGGTTAGCACTAGTATACTGGACCTAGGTGGTGAGTATACGTATGTCAGTAGGAATGGGTGTACCTATGTTGCTGGCGGGAGAGCCTATGGTGCGCTGACGCTGGTGGTGGCTAGATCCTGACAGATGGTCTACCCACTGCTGCTACTATTGTGCTATGGGTATATGTCCTGGACGCCTCCTCGTGGCGACCGCTGGGTGGGAGTTGGGTTACGCCCTTCTCCCTTCTAAAATCCAGGACACCAATCCGCATGAGTCAGTGAAATGACTATGTGCTATACCCGCTGCCTTTCGGGTGTATATTTATTCGAAGGCTTTGGCTGAGGACCCGAGCCGTTTTCCTGTCAGGTATGGGCGCCCTGCCAGTATCCCAACCCATCCTCTTCGGAGGTTAGGAAGTGGTCGATGGCCCTCTTCCCGTATAACCTATCCATGGGAGACTAAAGGTCTACTAGTTATAAGCTCACAGCTCGATTGGCGTAGAGCACGAGCGCCACGCATTGTCTCTGACGGTGAGAGGGCACCTTCGGGTGTTCAATGGCTTGCTACTGCCTGCCTCAAGCCAGGCAGCTCCTGGTCAAATTGGTGCAAACCCGCCAAAACTTACCTGCGTCTGGCCGTGGTCGCAGATGCCTATCCTACTACGGTCGCAAATCATATGAATCGTACCAGTACCTCAAAGGATGCGTGGGACGGCCGTCAAGCAGATACCAAACTGTCTCTGCAATCACATTCCCGAGCTGGCTCTTCTGCCCACTGCTTTGAGGGTCAGGCTATTCACCCAAAGACTCCGGGCCGAGTCCCACAAGTACACATCGAAATCCCCCCTTGTGGGTAAGACTATTGAGTCAAAGGCTCCGGGTGGAGTCCCTCAAGCAAACTTCCGAAGTACAACCACAATTACGCCTGGGATTGCCCACCAATGCAATCGTATTCCTGTGAGCAAAACACTCAGCAGCGGGTGCTGGAACGGGCGCACACTACCGGAGAGGAACGCGAGTGAGCGCCCTGAGCGATGCACTGCACTAGTCGCTATGGAACTGGCGCGGTACAACATCGATATTGCGGCGTTCAGTAAGACCCGGCTCGCCGAGCAAGGTAAGTTGCATGAAGCAGGTGCTGGCTACACGTTCTACTGGGTGGGAAACGCCACCTCAGCACCAGTGAACAAGGGGTCGGATTTGCACTATCCGATCGTCTCAATGCCCAGCTGGTGGGTGAACCAACTGGCATCAGCGCGCGACTGATGACTGTTCGCCTATGACTCAGAAGTGGTATGTTTGCCACTTTTTTAAGCACGTAGGGTCCAACCATGTGTTATCCTGATAACAAGCGTGATCAATTCTACATTCAGCTATCCTCCGTGACACGGTCTGTGCTGAGGAGCGACCGACTATTTCTGCTGGGTGATTTCAACGCACGCGTTAGGCGTGATGCTTCGGTGTGGACAGATGTCATCGGTTTGCATGGCATTTGTTCAGCGAATGCGAACGGTGACATACTGCTCTCACCGTGTGCCACTCACGGCTTGACGATCACGAACACTCGGTTTGCACTAAGTGCGAGTGATATAGCAACTTGGACATACTCAAGGTGTGGTCAAGCTCACTTGCTCGACTATGTCATCGTCCGTCAGCGTGATATGCGTGAACTGCGCATGACACGCATACTGCGTAGAGCTGAGTGTGGCACTGATCACAAATTGGTGCATACCAAATGGTTCATATACTTTCTTAAACCTATGCAGTTCACTCCTACGGTGAACCGGCGTAAATTTAAAATTCTCTCCCTCAGTACTGTGGAGAAACGTGTTGAGTTGGAGGAGGCGATGGTTGCAAGTCTTTGTAATGTGGACTTCATAGGCACAGTGGGTTACCCGTGGCAGCACGTTCACGACCAGGTGACAGCTGCTGTTGAAGAGACCATCAGGCGCGCAAACTGTAAGCGGCCTAATTGGTTTGATGAGAAAATGCGACGATTGGCGCATTGGTGTCTGAGAAGAATGCAGCAATTGCTGCACATGTGACAGACCCCAGTGATTTGGGGAAGAAGAGAAAGTTTAGCGGAATTCTACGGCGACTGACTCGAGAGCTTCATCGCATTAAAATTGCATGGTGGACGGAGAAGGTGAAGCAGATGGAATGCTACGCCGAACGCCGCCAACACAAGGGATTCTTTGACTCCTTGTAGGCGGTGTATGGATCGAGGTTGGAGCCGCTGAGGACGCTGATCGATCAGGCGCTACCTGCACACAGACTGCAGACATAATGCAGGTCTGGCCGAAACACTTTGACTGTCTCTTGAACAACCGTTCAGCGATCGACTGGCCTACTTTGAACGGCCTGAAACAGCACGATGTGTAGGCGAGTCTGGTAGGCGCGCCGACAGTGGATGAGACGCAGACAGCACTAGCTCAGCTGCGAAACGGCAAGTGTGCCGTTGCCTACGGGATCCCGCCAGAAGTATTGAAACACGGCGGACCTGCATTGGTGACTGCGTTGCACCACTTGGTGCAACGCGTGTGGGTTGAGGAGCAGGTGCCCATAGAGCTGAAGGACGCTCTTGTGCTACCACTGTACAAAGGCAAAGGGAGCAAGCAATGTTGCACGAATTATCGTGGCATCAACTTGCTGAGTTATGTGTGCAAGGTGATTGCCCGAATCTTACTCAACCGCCTCGTCCGTCAGGTTGTGGAACCGAACGTGGCGGAAGAGCAGTGTGGATTCCGTT